GGAGGAGACCTCAGTCTTATTCTCCTTCGTCCACCACTACCATCACAGAGGGGTCTTACCAGACACTCTCAGTGTGCTATTCAATCTATCTGCATCCTCATCCTGTGATAGCGCCCTTTGCCTCGCCAGTAAGTCATATTCTGCGACTAGCATTCGGGCCTCGTCAGTGGGCACGTCGAATCGCCACAGCTCGTCGCTGTTGACTCTTAGCCAGGAGGCCCTCAAGGGGACTCTATATTTGGTTGTCTATCTTTGTCATCGGCGTGCCGTGACATTAGAATAAGACTGACCTTTTACGCTCCTACCAAGTGTCTGACACTGGTAGCCGTGCATTTTCGCCCAGAGATACATCCGCCCAGGGCAGGGCTTTTTCTACACCACTTCCTTCATACACTTCCTCCTCGCCTCTACCACCTAAGCCGCTTCCTTCCTTCAAAAGGAACAGCGCTGCATCAGCCGGTAAAGCGCCTCAAGTACACAACGGTATCGTTCCACCCAATGGACGCTACCACCCGTACCAACGAGACCCCCGTCGCACACATCGCCTAACTCAGGGAAATCTCGTTCGAGCGAAGCCCCCACAAGCTAGCTCGCAAGGCATTACAGCTGAGCGTCGCCAACAAGAACGCAAAGTTAGCCTCTGGCTCGAAGGCATTCCAAAAGACGCGCTTACCCCGTTCATTCCTCTCCAACCCCCTCATCCCTACGCTACATTCCCCGCCATCGACGTTCTCAATTTCGCGCTCTCAAAGAGCTACCATCCTCGCGGAATCCACGAAAACTCTAAAGGTACTCTCCCCGAGAACATCGCACCGACTGTATACGCTACCATTCAGCGATACAAAGTCTTGCAGCAGCCACATATTGCAGCAAAGTTCACAGAGGAGCAGTTACAGTGTCGAGACAGAATTCTTCGACACCTATCAGTGATAAACGAGCGCATTGGAGCAGGACACGATTTCACATTCGTCGATAGACGCATCGCTATTAAGCTTTGCGTGGGACTAGGGAAGATTTCCTTCAAGGGGATCAATAAAGAGCAGGAGCGCGTAGGAAAAGAGATAGTAAAGTTTGAGAAGGAGTCGTGCTACTGGCCTTACTAGGACCAGTAATATTTTTGTATCCCAAGTTTCATGCCGAGATACGCAATCGGCTTTATATACGAGAACTACATCGTGGACTTTTATCGCCCGGCGCAGGGACAGCTCACAGTCATCTGCACCGCATATTTCATCTATCAACCTCTCGTCACCAATTGGCAACAAGTACTCTACCACTACACGGTACAAGTACACGGCTACACCACCTACTCGGCACCATTCCGGCTCATTCCCAATCTTGAGGAAGAGCGAGAATATTGGCACTACCGAGCTGAAGCTCTACAAGAGGAGTTAGAAGAAGAAGGACTCATCGAGGAAAACCCTGAACCCTTCTAAGGCTAAGCATCGATCGATTAACATATTGTCCGTCACCTCATTCCCATTATCCTCGACATCGATCCCCATATCTCAATACAACCTTGGAGGTGTTTCGTTCCCTGGAGGACACACAATGAGTGAGCCTGCTGACCCCTGGAGGAGTCAGGCCACTTCCACATTATCTGAAGCAGGACCAGCTGCCCCTGCTGAAGAACCACACAACAGCAGCACACCCAAGGCGTCGGGAGTAGTCAGAAACCCGTCACCCACTACCCTGCCAGCATTCTCCACACCTCAGACTTATGAATGGCAGGGAGTCCCTTACGCAACCATTGAGGAAGCTGCTAATGCAGCTGCACCCAACACCATTCCAAACGACGTAAAGGAATGGGTAATGAACGTAGTACGATCATTCGTCATGAGAGACGTTGTAAGCTCGTACGAAGCTTTACGTCAAAAGATGGATGAGCGTCACGAACACACGGTCGCCTCATTGGAAGATGAAGTACTGGCTCGAATTCACGTCGAGATAATGACAGTAGAAATATGAGACCAGTTGAAAACCGCAAGAGCCCAGATCGGCACCCTCTCCGCTGACAACGAACGGCTCATCAAGGCAAACAACAATCTGACACTCGAAGCCCAAGCAATTCGCAAGGACTTCGAAGACTACAAGGATGAAGTAAAGGGTCAGATGGACGCCCTTTATGGCAACATGGTCGCCCTGAAGGAGGCTCAGGAAAAGACCACCACCTACATCGTTGGCTTAGAGTCCCGACTCAACAATGCCATCATCAATGCGCCCTCCACAGGTATCCTACCGCCGGCCAGTCAATCCAGTCAAACGCCCCGCCGAATCAAGCTCCCCGATCCTCCCAAGTATTCAGGAAGAAAATCGTCGGAAAATTTTGAAACTTGGTTCACGAACCTGCTCATCTGGCTCGATTATAACCATTTCACGGACGATAAGGACAAAATTCGGCAAGCCAACGCGCATCTGGAAGGCGGAGCTGCTCTATACATGAAAGAGTACGCAATCAAGCTCGCCTCCGGACAAGACATTGGTACATGGGCAGAATACACCAGGAAACTGGAAATGGCATACAAGACGCTTGACCCCAAGCGCACGGCACAATCCCTGCTAGATGCACACTGCGCAATACGCCACAAGACAATGATTGCCTTCGCAGAAAATTTCAGGGCTTACGCCCCCGAATCAGGATATTCTGACGAAGATCTAATCGTCAAAATCAGGGAACAACGGTCGACCCACATTCAAACAGTCATGTCAGTAACGGAGACTTTGGACCCCTCGAAGATTCCAACCACCTGGATGGATTATCTCGAGTTCTGCCTGGAGATAGAAATCAAACATCTCCAACAAATAACGGGAAACAAGTCTACTGGACAGACCACGATGACCAAGGCAACTGCTCCCAAGGACCCTAACACCATGGACACAAGTGCACGAATTGCCCATGAGCTATCCCCGGAACAGGACAGATGGCTGGCAAACAAACTATGTTTGTTTTGCGGAAAGCACGCCTATGAATGAGGAAAGTGGTGTCCCTCCCCTAAGCCTGAGTACAAGGGCAAGCAGTTTCAGACCCGAGCTGCCCTGAAGCAAGGGCAAGGAAAAGGGAAGGGCAAGGCGACAAACGTGCGACAGATGGAAGAAGAAAGTAGCGCGGGCTCATCAGCGCAAATTGCGGCACTAAAACAAGCAATTGCTGCACTTCGTGGGATGAGCACAACGACGACTACACCACTGTCTGGCAAGGGCAAAGGCAAGGTGAAAAGCACAGGCACGGAATCAACGATATCGGCATCAACGGCAAAGGACACCAATGCGAGAATCGTTGAGATAGACGATTTCTCAGAGGATTTTCAGTACGAAGTGTAGACAAGTCTGGTGTCACACTTCAAGACAATTGTATTAGTACCGTGAGAACGAATGTACCTAGCGACCACTTATATATTGCATCCGCAGGTTTTTCTAAACATTCGATCGAATTGCCAATAAGATTCGTATCACGGAAAATCCAGACGACGGCACTATTGGATTCTGAAGCATTCTCTTGCTATATTGACCAAAGATTCGCTGAGAAGCACGGGTTTAAAATGATACCTCTAAACCATGAAATTCAAATCCTCAACGCAGACGCCAGCCCTAACAAGGGTGGCGCAATTACTCATCGTGTAGTCACAAGCATCTTAATCGGGGGGCACCGATCCACCGAGAGTTTGCTCGTCACAAACCTTGGACGCATGTCAATGATCCTTGGCATGAAATTTCTACAAGAACACAACCCCCGAGTTGACTGGAAACATAGAGAGGTCACGTTCTCAAGATGTAGACACACGAGGAAATAACGAGTCCAAGTATGCGAGGAAGAAGTCAACCTTCTATTGCAACCTCGGCTCGAAAATGAAGCAATTCTCCCTGACGTACACATAGATGACGGGTGGGATCAGGAAGATAACTTCATCAACTGGATAGACTTGCAAGACCAGGATCTTTGTAACATGGTGCACGACATCCTAGGCATAAGCAAAAAGGTAAAGGAGCATTTGGTAGAACAGCCGGCTGAAGAGACACAGGACAAAGAATATTGGTCCAAGTTCGTCCCTCCAGAATTTCATCAATTCGGAGATGTGTTCTCGAAGAAGAGCTCGGAAAGAATGCCGACGCGTAAGCCCTATGATCACGCAATTGATCTTGTCCCAGACGCGGCAACCCCGAGACCGGCAAAAGTATACCCAACATCTTTACGAGAGAAGAACTCGCTCGACGAATGGATTGATGGCGAACAAGCCAAAGGCTACATTCGACCATCTAAATCCCCTTAAGCCGCCCCAGTGTTCTTCGTCAAGAAGAAGGATGGCTCTCTTAGACTTGTCCAAGATTACAGGGCATTAAACAGTGTCACCAAGAAGAACAAATTCTCACTCCCCCCGAATCAATGATCTTATTGACGGACTCTCAAGGGCTAGCATATTTACTACACTAGACCTGAGATGGGGGTACAATAATGTACGCCTTCGCAAGGGAGATGAGGAAAAAGCAGCGTTCATTACTCATAGAGGGTTATTTGAACCCACTGTAATGTACTTCAGATTCTGTAATGCTCCTAGCACTTTCCAGGCCATGATGAACGACGTCTTAAGCGATCTCATTCGCACTGGAAAAGTGGCAGTCTATATAGATGACATCATCATCTTTATGGATAACCAGGAAGAACACGACCGCCTGACCAAAGAGGTTCTACAACGACTCAAGGACAATGACCTGTTCGTGAAACCAGAAAAGTGTCACTTCGCAACCACTTTTGTCAAGTTTCTCGGACTCATAATCTCAAAGGGGTCAATACAAATGGACTCAGAGAAGGTCGACGGCGTGCTCAGATGGCCGGTGCCCACCAAGGTAAAGCAAGTACAAGCATTCCTTGGTCTGGCAAATTTCTATCGACGATTCATCAAGGATTTCGGATCGATGACCCGACCCTTGACTCTATTAACACGTAAGGACGCACAATGGAAATGGGAAGATCCTCAACAAAAGGCATTCGAGGCCCTCAAAACTGCTTTCACTTCCGCCCCAATCCTAGCACTCCCCAACGCAATCCGTCCCTTTAGACTAGAAACGGATGCCTCGGACTTTGCTACAGGCGCAGTCCTTGAACAGTTAGGAGAAGATGAACTCTGGCATCCTGTCGCCTATTACTCTAAGTCACTCAATGAACACGAGCGCAACTATGAGATTTACGACAAGGAAATGCTAGCTATCATTCGGGCATTGGAAGAATATAGGCAATACTTTGAAGGACACCCGCACCCGGTTGAGATCTGGTCGGATCACCTCAATCTTACCTATTTCTGACAAGCTCAGACACTGACCAGACGACAAGCTCATTGGTCACTTTACCTTACAAGATTTAACTTTATTCTCCGTCACCGCACCGGAAAGACGATGATGCGTGCCGATCCTCTGTCCAGGAGGCCAGGTCATGAGAAGGGGGTGAGCAATGACAATTCAGGGCAAACTTTGCTTCGACCCGAATATTTTGCCATCCATGCGATCTCAGCCACTCATTCCTCCGAAGTTGACGATGCAAAACTTCTAGAAAGAGTGAAATCGGCACTGCAAGACGATGAAATGACCAAAGGTTACCAGCACCTACTAAAAACTGGCAAGCGAGAGTTCGGAAAAGACCTCCAAGAGTGGAACTTCGAGCATGGATTGCTGCTCAGAAGAGGAAAGGTCTACGTTCCGAAGGACTCTACGCTGCGGAATGAGCTGATTAAATTACATCACGACATTTCCACCGCCGGACACGCCGGACAATGGAAAACGCAAGAATTGATCAGCAGGAATTATTGGTGGCCAGGGCTCACCATTGATGTCAAGAAGTACGTCCAAGGCTGTGTGGCTTGTCAAAGAAACAAGACAAGCAAGCAAAAGCCGTATGGACTACTACAACCCAATCCGGTACCATGAGGGCCTTGGGACATGGTTACCTGTGACCTGATTACACAACTACTGCCAAGCCCAGACCATAGGGGAGAAAAGAAGACTGCAATTTTGGTAGTTGTCGACCGATTTACCAAACATGCTCACTACTATGCCGTAGACGACACGGTGACAGCATCTCAAGTAGCGTCGATTTTCTACAATGAAGTATTCAAACTTCATGGAATTCCTAGGCAGATCATATCTGATCGAGGCACCCAGTTCTCAGCCAAATTATTTCAGGAGTTTTGTCAGAAACTTCATATTAAGTCGACAATGTCTACAGCTTATCACCCTGAAATGGACGGACAAACCGAACGGGTCAATCAGATTCTGGAGCAATACCTGCACATGTACTGCAACTACCGACAAACCGATTGGGCTACACTATTGCCCACGGCGGAATTCGCATACAACAACCAAGCTTCAGAATCGACAGGTTTATCACCGTTCTTCATAGAGCATGGTCGACACCCCCGCATGGCACCCGATGTATTGGAAGGGATATAACATCCATCCCTGGAACATTTATTCCACAACCGCGACCAAGCACAGGAACAAGCACGTGCCGCTCTGTCATTAGCAGCAGAACGTATGAAATGGTATTTCGATCTTAAAAAGCAGGACATCCCTTTCAAAGTAGGAGACGAAGTGCTTATTCGAGGAAAAGATCTCCATGTAAAAGTCAAAAGCCAGAAGCTGGCGACTCAAAACTATGAACCATTCAAGATCCTCGAAAAGATCGGGACCGTATCGTTCAAACTGCAATTACCAGAAGACATGAAGATACACCCTGTGTTTCACGCTTCAAAGCTAATTATGTTCCATCAAGACTCGATTCCAGGACGCATACCTCCCCCTAATCCTCCAGTCATCATTGACGGGGAAGAAGAATGGGACGTAGAGGACATCCTTGATTCAAGAGTCAGGTATAACAAAACCCAGTATCTCGTTAAGTGGTTAGACTATGACCACAGCGATAATACTTGGGAACCACTGGAAAACCTCACGAATGTCAAAGACAAAATAGAGGAATTCCATACGACACACCCAGACGCTCCAAGAGCTAAGCCGCGAACGCGCAAAGCACACAAAATCGCCCTGTCTGACCACCCTGATGAGTTCATGTTCTTCTTCCGCCTTCATCCAAATGCCCGAGCCCCCTACAAGGGATCTAGGGAAGCTGTAGGATGGGATGTCAAGTTCGTACAAGACTTAAACATTCCCCCACATTCCAGAATGCTCGTTGGCACCGGGTTGGCGGTTGACCCCCCAAAATGGACATACATTCGAGTAGCTCCCCGAAGTGGGCTAGCCCTCAAAGGAATTGACGTCGCAGCAGGGGTAGTAGACCCGGACTACACAGGGGAGATCAAGGTTCTGCTTGTAAACACTACCAGCAAATCATTTGAGGTCAAGACAGGCGATCGAATCGCCCAGTTCATATGCGAACGCTACGTCCCAGGAATCATTTCGGAGGCAGATAGTTCACTCGCAAAAAGAACAATCCGAGGCGCTAAAGGCTTTGGCTCATCGGGACGATGAACCTTGAGAAGGGGGTGATGTCACGGTTTTACCTGACAAGTCATTATAGGAACAAATGCTATTAAGGAGCATATCATTTTTCATCATTTCTCGTCGCATAAGAAGTCACGTGACCTAACA